AACCTGAGAAACAAAACGAGAACTGGAGCAAAACATCCTCAGTCCAATTGGTTCCACCCACAACCTCCAAGAAAGATGACTTCTCACTTAAATCCGTTGAAGGAAGCTCCGGTGGACGCAAAACCGGAGGCTTACAGCATAAACCATCCGCTAGAGCCAGCGGGTTGATTGTTCCTATAGATGATAGTGATGGCAAAACGGTAATCGTAGAGAGACCTACTAGGTCTCACCGGAGATCTTCCACTGCAGATATTGGAACAGGAATAGGAGGAGGATTCCACATGTTTCAGCAGAGTAATAACATCCCAAGTGTTCCACAAAGCCCCGAGATCGAGCTCATTGCAGCTGGATGGCCTTCTTGGTTAACCTCTGCTGCAGGTGACGCCATTAGAGGATGGGTTCCTCGTGCGGCAGAGTCCTTTGAGAAGTTGGACAAAGTTAGTTCCTTTTTCTCTCTCTCTGTTTCCATATTTCAGTTTCTTGATTGCTATATTTCAGTTTCTTGATTGTTATATGTTGTTTCTTGCAGATTGGACAAGGGACTTACAGTACTGTGTACAGAGCTAGGGACCTTGAGACCGGGAAAATGGTAGCCATGAAGAAGGTCAGGTTTGTCAATATGGATCCAGAGAGCGTGAGATTCATGGCCAGGGAGATCAACATCTTGCGAAAACTAGACCATCCAAACGTTATGAAGCTTGAGTGTCTTGTGACATCAAAACTCTCTGGTAGCTTGTACCTTGTGTTTGAGTACATGGAGCATGATCTCTCAGGCCTCGCTCTTAGACCTGGTGTCAAATTCACTGAATCTCAGGTACGTTCAAGGCTTGATTATGGTGAAAAAGCTAACAAGAAGTCATGGACTAACTAACACAAAGACAAATCTTGTTTCTTTGTTGCTTGTTGCAGATAAAATGTTACATGAAACAGCTGCTTAGCGGGCTTGAACACTGCCACAGCCGTGGAGTTCTCCACCGTGACATCAAGGGATCAAATCTGTTGGTAAACAATGAGGGAGTTCTCAAGATTGGAGACTTCGGTCTGGCGACTTTCTATCATCCTGAACAAGACCAACCCTTGACGAGCCGTGTAGTAACTTTATGGTACAGAGCTCCTGAGCTTCTACTTGGAGCTACAGAGTATGGAGCCGGCATTGATCTGTGGAGTGTTGGTTGCATTCTCACAGAACTTTTCTTAGGGAAACCAATCATGCCAGGAAGAACAGAGGTGAGTTTATCTTTAGATTCATCAGATGATCATCACTTCTTTGAGTCCAATGACCTTCATTGACATTGTTTCTTAGGTGGAGCAAATGCACAAGATCTTCAAGTTGTGTGGCTCACCATCAGATGATTACTGGAGAAAGACAAAGCTACCACTTGCGACAAGTTTCAAACCGCAACAACCTTACCAGCGTGTGCTTCTAGAGACGTTCAAGAGTTTGCCACCTTCTGCTCTAGCTCTTCTTGACAAGCTTCTATCCTTAGAACCAGAGAACCGAGGCTCAGCTTCATCAACACTAAACAGCAAGGTATAAGATAATCTCTTACAACTGTATCTACCAGTTCTTGATTCGTTGAACTCAGTTCTTGTTCTTTCTTTTCTTTAGTTCTTCACAACGGAACCACTCCCTTGCAATGTATCAAGTTTGCCTAAGTATCCTCCAAGCAAGGAACTTGATATAAAGATCCGTGATGAAGAAGCAAGAAGGTATGTTAAAAAGTTTCCCTACATCCATATTCTTGCACCAGGAAACCACAAAATGTAATTCCTAAACACACATGTTCTTGATAAACTTCAGGAAACGAGCTGAAACTGTGAAGGGACGTGGAAGAGACTTCAAGAGTGCCGTTACAACACCAGAGTTCATTGCTTCAGGGCAGTCAAAAGTCCCAATCGGTACCACCGAGAGGTTTAATCATCAGGAAGACAATAGAACTGGTTTGAGAGGAGAGACAGGAAGACGGGACAGAGATAAAGGCGGCTTTTCTCATACCAATTCAATGATTCATCCAAGCATGACAACAACATGGAGTAAAAATGAGAACAGCTCTAGGAACAATGGAAATGAGTTGAAGTCTACACGATCTAGCAACATTCCCACGGCTGGGAGATACTTGTCTCCTTCACATAAAGTAGATGCAACCGTAGAACCCACAACGGTAACAAACTATTTGAAAATTTGGTTATTTGACTCTAGTTTTTCACCTTTAGATTATGGATCCTAAGATGTCTTTTTCTTCTTATGTGGTTTCAGAGATACATACGGAAGAAGAACAGAATGCATTGTTCGGGTCCATTGATGCCTCCTGGTGGAAACATGGAGGACATATTGAAAGAGCATGAGAGGCAAATCCAAGAAGCTGTAAGGAAATCAAGGCTTGAGAAATCTGCAACAAGGAAAAACAACAGAGCCTGATGTGCATAGACATGTATCAAACTTTGGTATAACACCAAAACAAGAGAAAAAACATTACCTGAAACTGGAAGAGGTAAGATTGGCCATGGATATCAGCTCTTCAGCAACATTTAGCAGGCCATTGCCAACAGCTATGCTTGTGCTAGTAAAGAGATGTGTTATTATGTGGTCGGTCATTTGTACATGGAAACTCTTGTTTTCTACTCTCACTCACTCACAGTTGTTTTGTGGTTTGGAGATGCAAAATAAGTGTGTATATTTTAGCAATTCGTGTCAAATATGTAGCTAGAATGCTTCTCCAAGTCGTTAACTGCAAAACGCAAAGGGATTTCACACAAGTACGTATGGCCTAACAGAGACAAAAACCTTACAGAATCATCATCTGTTCTGCTAAATGCTAATATCATCATCATCATCATAACATTTACATATCCTGCTTGAGTTTCCGGTTAAGCTCAGTGTATTTACTATTTAGCACCTATTAACAGCAAGATCTCCTCCCACATACTTTCTGATGAAGCTCCACATATTAGATCTGATCTCTTTCACGAACAAGTTTGCTCTGAAATCTCCTTCAATCCATTTAGGCCATATGGTTCAGAAGCTGCTGAATCATTTGATATGTTGCCATTAACAAAGATGTGTTTTTTTTTGTGTGCGTGTGGTAAAATCCATTAACAAAGATGTGTTCCTTTTTTAGAAGCCTCTCTCATTCATGGAAAAATGGACAGTAAAGGCTCCATTTTTAAGAGCCATTTGGATCAACTTTCTTGCCTTAATTCCCCAATTGCTAAGCGCTCGTACGAGAACCGTTTCTCGCTCATACACAACTCGTCAAAATCCAAAAGATTCCCCTTTTAACCCCTAACCAGAGGCTGAATCGTCGTCACTCTGCTTGCGCCTCGAATACTCTCAGTTTCGGGGAAACTCCTCGGACGAGAAGATAAGGTTTTGGGTCGCCGCGTTAACGACTCACTAGCAAGTAGAAAACTCAAATCCAGTGATTTCGCATAAAGTCTTATCGATTCCATTTTCGGCGTTCCATGGATGAAGACGGAGGAGAGAAACGCGTTCCTTCGAACTCCAAACGATCGGGGAAGTTGATTGGATAAGCGAATTGCCAGATTCGTTGCTAATCCAGGTACTTTTGAATCTCCGCACCAAGGATGTGGTAAAGACTAGTGCTTTATCAACTAGGTGGAGACATCTCTGGAAAACAGTACCTAAATTGGACTTGGAGATTGCTAATTTCCCAGATCACAACTTATTCTCGAGTTTCGTCGATCGCTTTCTAGGTTTCAACACCGACTGCTTACATAGTTTCAAAGTAGATTACGATTACTATGCGGATGATGAGCCTGAGACTGGTCTCATCAGGCGCTGGGTCACTACTGTTGTTCGCCGGAAAGTTAAACATCTCCATGTTGTAGACGACTCACCGGAAAGTTGGGAACTTGAGATGCCTCCCTCGCTCTACACTTGCGAGAGCTTAGTCTCGTTGAAGCTCTCTGGACTAACTTTGCCTAGTCCTCCTCCAAAGTTCGTCTCTTTACCTTGTCTCAAATGTCAAATCTATCCATCTGATCATCGTCAAGTTTGCAGACGATTCAGCATTGGAAACACTCATCTCGCGATGCCCTGTTCTTGAATGGTTATACGTTGAGAGGAGTCTGTGTGATGATATAGATGTTTTGCGTGTGCGTTCTCAGTCTCTGTTGAGCTTCACTCATGTTTCGGATGGTAGTGAAAGGTAGAGTTGAACATCTTGCACTTCCTTTAAGATGCAAAATTGGTGAAAGTGTGATGTTTTTTGAACTTGCAGGGATCTACTAGATACTGGAAGGAGGAGGGAATGAATAGTTTTACCGGAGCTTGGTGTTTGTTACCGTCTCTGGAGTATGTTGAGATAGAAAGGCCGTTGAAAGGAAGGAGATGGAGATGAGATTAGTGGCCTACTTACTTGAAAACTCAGCGGTTCTCAAGAAATTAACCTTACACTTGGATGGTTCAAGAAAGAAAGTAGAATCTATCATCCTCAGAGCACTCCTTACCATTCCAAGGCTCTCTTCATCGTGCAAAGTTGTTGTTCTCTGATGTAACTCATCCTCCTTAATCTCATAGTCAGCACCAATAAACATGCAAGGTTACATGAGTTTCGTTTTGGGGATAAAAACTTTGAAGTACTCAACTTTTTTTTTTTTTGAATTCTTTGTTTTTTTCCTTAGTTTATGATGATGATATTCGAAGTTTCTGAAGTTGGTAAAAGAATCATATTTATGGGTGAAGAGAAAAACCAATTGAGGGAGAAGACGGAAGATGTAAATACTTTTATGACCTTTATGCTCTGCCTCACCTGCCAACAGGGCCAAAACCACTTTTTGTGTGTGTTTTAGAATAACTGAGGGCAATTATGTCCATTTTGATCCACAGCTGTATGGAGTCAACTGTTCGAGTCAAGCCAAGCGCCAAAAAAATTCGGACTTTGGTGGAGGTGTTAGTGTGTGAATCGAATTTTCGATCGTTCTCCTTCTTCAGTTATCGAATTAGGGGTTTTATGCGGAATCCAGTTTTAACAGGAACAATGGCGATTCTATCGACGGCTAATAGCGCTCTCTGCCATCCGATTGCGTCAATTCCGGCATCCACGTTTCGTTCTCATGGATTTTCGAAGAGAATTTCAGGAAACGGGCACTGGGTTCGCGAAAGGAGAAGACTTTCTGTGAAATCGAGCAACTCAGAGTCGAAAACTGATGAAGCAACTCCAAAACGGACTAGTGCGAGTGAAAACGCTACGGTATCTTCTGATACGAGCGGCAATTCATCGAGCTTCTTGTCTGTTCTCTGCCCATTGCTTAAACTTTTCTCTGTGAGTCTTCTTCCTCTCTTAACTTCTTCTTCTGGGTTTTCCAAAAATTCATTTTTTTCTTTCTTGCAATTATCTGCTGCTGTGTGTTAGATTAATGTCTCAATACTGCTTATGGAGTGTAAATGGTTCTATGGTTTAAAGATATGTTATTTTCTTTAATGATTTTTTTGTCTCAACTGTTCTTTCCAGGGAGGTGATCCTTCAGGACAGCGGAATCATGCTCTGGAGGTTAAATTTTGTTTCCCTTCTATGGAGAGTGTAAATTCAATTCGGCCAAATAACTCTGTTCTTGCTTAGCCAACACATTTGCTATAGAT